CACTCGACAACTAGAGAAGCTTTTCTAGAACTCAGATGAACACCTTAAATCACCAGCTAGCAAACAGATAATAACACAGGCTGGAAGTCTGAGTGTCTCTGACCATACTACCGCTTTAATTCAGTTTCCTGCCCAACATCTAAGATGGATAGCTTTTACCAAACAGTAGCAGTGAGCTAGTCGATATAAGCTCTCTCTGATCAATACTGCATCTAAGTCGACTAATCAAAGCCTTTAAGAGAAATGAAGGTAAGAGTTTGTTTTCTGGAACCCAGATGAGAAACTGCCTTTGAAGATGTGTGACAGTAGTTCTAGTAATGTAGCTCTACCCAAATCCAACAGCGCTCAGAAAGAGCTGCTATAACAGACAACCACCAATTACTTCCACAGCAGAAGTGTATCTGATGGGTGCTGTGGTCACATCCTCTGTGAAGCTGATGTGACACCAACTGTAAGACAAGATAAACCTTTCCAGGAAAATCCATTTGTGACGCAAATGGGCAGGCTCCCATCACACCATGTTGGTATAGCATCACACTTATCAACCTGGGATAAATGTTTGCTATAGATACAGCTGACAGAACACAACTACACGTGACTTCACTTTCACTTGGAACAAACCAACAATAAAGTTACAGAGGAATGGCTTGCAGAAGGGCTGCCTGATTCTGCAAACTTCTGTGTATTAACATTAAACACAGCCAATTGTACTGCACAGGTACGGCTAGCATTAATGGGCTAGCAGGGCTAAGCCCTCCCTTTCTTATACAAGAAAGATAAGAAAATGAATCTTCAAATAACTTACAACAGACTGTTCTCAATTCTGGGAAACCTAGAGTCGCAACATAACCTTCAAAAAAATCACATAATATTTCTAAACGCCCCTGGCCCCCCGGACAAAAGTGATGTCTGTTACCATTTTCTTTTTCAGTGAATTAGACTGTCCTTATATCATTTCTTAACATTTATAGTAACATTTCAATCAAATTATATCTGCAAACTATTTAATCACGGAAGTGAAGCACATTTTTAGAATAGAGTGGATAGAGTAGAAAACCAGGATGAGAGAGTGGGGAATGACATGAGGCAAAGAGTCAAACAGGGGCCACTCTCTTTGAGTACCTAGCTTCTGTACGGGGTCGCTGAAATAACCGCTAGGCCAACCTGTACCCAGATACTCTTTTGTCAATGTTGAGGCATATATCAGACTTAATGGATGGGTTGTTCATATTCGTCAGAATGTGCCTAAAAATGTGGCTGTTAGTTAAAATCATTTAGTAAGACACTGTACAGCTGGATGAAGACAAAAAGACTGTGAGTACACCTCTGTTGTTCCTGTGGTCTGTGCCAGCTCTAACTTCTTCTTGCTACTAGAAACAGCGTCAAATCTCTTCTGGGCATCTTTTGGGGATTTGTAAGGCAATAACTTTGTGATTCCAGCAGAGAAAACATTGAATCTTCATGGTACTGTATATATCTACCAAGACTTGTCATCAAATAACTGCTTCTGTGTTTACTTCAATACCACTTCCCTTCAGCAGCGACTGAAGACTCATGATACTGAGCACCCTGCAGAGACTCCATGTTAAGGAGGAAGAGAAAATGACTGCTATCACACACTTTTTCAGTTGTCTGTAAATAAAACTCAAACCTAATAATAGTGATCTGTTAAGATGTTTAGAGTTACACAAGCTTCTCTTTCCACCACAGAGATAATATATTCTTCGCCTGGAAATATTAGCAGCACATCATCCTTCCCCTGGTGTGAGAGCCATGTCACGTGGACGTCGCCGCCTTCCTTTTACATTAACCATTTGATTCTTTGATCATGAGTAAAAGCGCCTGCAGGCTTTACAGTATATGTCAGCTTTACGTTGTTACATGTGGCAGCCTCACTGCAGTGACCACGGAGAGCTATGTAATGGAATCCAACCCTGCAACGAGCGAGTCATAAACTGAGTCCAGAATGTGCACTGCAGAGCGAGCCTCATATATCATGAAGAACAACACATCTTCTCCTGTGCAGCCATATTACTCCTAGCTTAAGACAGAAAACATACAAAGTTGTTTCTCCTCTAAGAAGTCTTTGTTGCCCTGCATGTATGTTGGAAATTTAGAAATGTCTGATGATTTAATCGTGTTAAAAGATGCCCAGAGGCAGAAAACATGCACTCAGTGTGCCAATGTATTTACATAACATCGCCTGTCAAGCCTCTGAGCAAATGTGTTTATGTTCTTCTAACAGCATGCGTGTGTGAATGTGTGTATGAGAATGGCTCTGAAATATTTCCTACTACAAGGCTTCTGTTCTCCCCGTTTAAGCAGAGCATGCTGCCAAAAAGGAACTTTTCATTTGTGCTAAGCTGGTATAAAAGGGGAAGGTAAGCGGAAGAAAAACAGAGAATCAATTTAAGTGAGCAGCACATTTCTGTTAGTAGATGAGGAGGAGATTAGATGTAAATCAAAGAGCAGAATCAGCAGGGAGGCCTGTGAATGAGTGCTTCCAGTTAATGAAAGCTTAAGTCCTCTCTGCTACATTAACAAATGGCTTTCTCTGGGGACGCCTAACAAGACAAAACAATCTAATAAAGACACAGCATCATAAGATAAAAGTAGTGAAAATAGAAATTCCTTATTAGATCTGTTTCTTTACATCAATTTAAATATGAAATAGCCAAGCAGCTTTGTGTTAAGAGTTCCTCAGCGAGCTAAATGAAGGTCGTGTTTCAAAGCTAACTCTAAAATAAATCCATCATTCACGTCGGTAAAACACAGCTCATCTTACAAACCCCCAAATCTCATCTCAGAGTCTCTGGAGTTGTTTGAGCAGGGACACAAGTCAGGCTCCAGTGGACACACATGACAGAGGGATTTGAATGTGTGGATATTCAGTAAGCAGGGTAGCTTTCCTCAGCTGTTCCATCAGATAGCATGGCAGGCAGCAGATGTGAGTGCTGAAAGCATCCCCGGAGGCGGGATGTAGCACCTCTGGAAGGATGTCACACTGTCTAACACATTTCAATTCAATAGATGGATTATTGTTTCAGCTACAAACTGAAACAACACGTCCTTTAGACAATTGCATCTGAAGAGGTAGGCACTTTGAGTATTAAACCGTGTGTCCACCTGCTGTATTATTAATGCACACTGCACTTCAATAACAATTTCACTTTATACACACCACAAACATCCCCTATACATTCCAGCTTTACATCCTGAAGCCCATTTGTGCATGCTGTGACATGTAATTCAAACTGCTTAAGTCTGACTTGAACCTCTCGTTTCAGCTTGAGACCTCTCCTGTAAATCTTCTCAACCTCCACACACAGCTGTTTATGGTAATTACTGACATAAAACCTGCTGTACAGAGTATGTGATTAGCCTTCTAACCAGGGTCACAACGTAACAACCAGACGTCTCTTCAAAGAGCCCGGAGAGGAAAAACTCTCATGTGTTCACTGTCAATTTAAGTCCAATCTTCTGCTCTATGTCAGTGAGAAGACGAGTGATTAATTAAGTGCATAAAACAGTTACAAAACACATGGGCTGTGTCTCAGTTGGTAGAGTCGTTGCCTCTCAACCGGAAGGTTGAGGGTTTGATCCCCAGCTGAATAACATGTCCTTGGGCAAGACACTTAACCATGAATTGCTCCCTCTTGCTCCTCTCTGTGTATGAATGGATTAGTTACTTCTGATGGATGATACTACATAGAGATCACTACCATCAGTGTGTGAATGTGTAGGTGTGACATGCAGTGTAAAAGCACTTTGAGTAGTAGGAAGACTTGAAAAGCGCTATATAAGCTCAAGTCCATTTACCATTTACTGAAAATATCCAAATTATCACATCAAAAATTCATTTTGAGTGTTGCACAAAGAGGACTTACTCAATAAAGGACACTCTCTGACTTTTTCTAAAATTTTTAGAAAGAAAAATCTAAATTAAAGGATCCAAGGTTGCATTTGTTCAGCACGGTCTTGAATAAAAAGACAAGCTGTGCGTTCAGAAAATTGCATCGATTTCCTTGAGGAGTTAACAGGAGTAACTTGGAAGTGTAAATCAATGGGCGTAAGATGAGACACATCAACAATGCAGGACTTCACTGACTTCATTCTTCTTACCAATTGTGTGTTTCCCAAACCATGGGAAATTGCTGCTTGCCTTTCTTTCCTTCTCTGTGCAGCATATCAAGTAAGGTTGTGAAGTTCAGAGGAGCCTTGTTGCATGAAAAGCCGATGGTGGAAAACGGAATAGGACCACCAAAAGAAATGTGGGACGTTCAATACAACTCGTCAGAGAGAAAGTTAGAGAACCTGACATTAAAAGTCTGGGAAAGTGTAAATCTGTCTTTGCTAAGGAGTACTCTCAATCAGTTGTTTTGTATAAATGTGTGTGTGTGTGTGTGTGTGTGTGTGTGTGTGTGTGTGTGTGTGTGTCCTAGCCAGTGCTGGGAACAGTCAGGGGTGTTCAACATCTCAGTCCAAACAGCAGCTCCCTCATTATCAAGCAGACCCCGCCATGTCTGACCCCTGAGTACAACCCTGCTATGGGAGGAAACCACTCAAACCTAACACAGCCTAGTTTGGCTGTACTTTAAAAAAAAAAAACCTTTTCCTGGATCTGTAAGTCAACACCCGGAGTAAAGCATTTCCCCTCACATCCTTGCTGGGCAGGGAATGCTGTTTTTACTCCAAACTTTCCCAAACACCAGAGTGAAGGGAATGATGGCAAAACAGAGCTAGATAAGGACTTCCATAATGCTTTTAACTACATGTTGTGGTGTAGCTAGAAAAACCTCTCAAAGGAGTGAGACATGTGAATCGTAAGGGGCAAGTGATGCTCTTTATAGCATTAGCAGAAACAAATGAACTTTCTGCATGCTACTCGTGTGTCATGTTGGTACATACGGTCAAGGCTTTCATTGTGTTGCACAATTAGTCTGTAACCCCCATATTGGCAATTTTGCAACTCAGGAACGTTGTTGAGCCAGACTACTCACCCAGTAGCAGCAGTTTCACTTCTCTTGCTGCTTTCTCTCCATCTTCTCGCAGGTTTTTGTCAATCATTTTGGAGCGCTCGGCCGCCGCTTTATCTTCCTGACTAACCGTACACCCCATGGTTCCTAGTGCGCGCTTCAGGACTGCTGCTGAGTGGGGGAATATTACCTGGGAAAAAAATGACGGTAAAGTGCCAAAAAAAGACCCTTATTAAAAAAATAAGAGTCCAAGTTGAGCGAGGCGACGTCCCTTTTCTGACGAGTGGCGACAAACGATTTCCTCCTGAAGTGAACTTGGTTTTTCCTCACGTATGAAATTCCCGAAGACTCGCAGGCTGTTCAGTTAGTCAGCAGCATTGGTGGTTTCTTCAAGGGAATCGACAAGTTGTTCAGAGACACACAGACTTCTAGCTATAGTTCCTTAGGAGGAACCATTGGAGCAAACTGAACTCGCGAAAAACGGGCCACGAAGTTATCAAAAAAAAAGAAAAAGTATTCCAGCTGTTGAAAAGCGAGCTCACGGATTTGTCCCCCGTAGAGCTACCGGGCTCACACGTCACAGGCTGACGTGAACGTCTCTCGTTGCTGTTTGAGATGTCTGTTTTTTAATCTTTATTGCGGTCATGCATTCTTTCCCCAGCGTTGAGATTTATTACATTTAAAGCCACACCCGTAGCCGCTGTGAAGTTCCCCTCCGCCTGACAAACTGCGAGACACACAGCGCCGTCACCTCCCACCCCAACAGCACGACGGTCAACCTCCACCAGAGAGAAGAACCCGCCCACTCGCAGTGCTTCATGGGAAATGGAGTCAACTGCTCCATTCAAGGGACGTTTGTAATTGATGTTCCCTGCCCTCAGTGGAAAGGGTTTACTTCAGTTAACCAGTAGAGAGACTGGTTTCTTTATGTTTGCCCTTCAAGAAGAATTCTGAAGGAAGTGACTTTCAAGTTTATCTGCAAACTATGTTTAGATAGCCAACAGAGTATAGGCTACTCATTGTGCAAAATGTTCCCTGTTGCAATAATTTAATTATTTTTGTTGGTGTAACAATATGCAAGCATACTTTAAGCGCCGTAGCTGGTGAAGAGAAATAGCCAGTGGTGGTTCTAGACCACTTTCACTGAGGGGGCCAAACAGGGGCCAGTTGTTTTGTCAGAAGGGAACATTAAACCCAGGTGAAAAATAGACAAAGATGATCGCTTTAAAATATATGCCAAATAATAGGACACATCATGAAATACCACAACATAAAATACCATGATTTATATTTGTTTCAGTAACAGAATTTAATATTAGATTGTGAGTCCGGTTGTTGAGTCAAATACTAGGGGGTTCTTGCTTTTGGAGGGGTGGCCACAGGGGGGACCAAGCTCAGTGTTACAGGGGCACTGGCCCCTGTTGGCCCCTGCCTAGAACCGCCCATGGAAATAGCTTCTTTATATAGCCTACTTTTTAAGTTGCTTAAACCACAACAGTTTGTTGTCGTATGTTAAAGATCTTATGTTAATGTCAATATTTCAAATTGAAGATAATCATCAGCAGGCTCCTGTCTAAAGCTGACAGATACACGCAAGAATATAAAAACATGTCTCCGCTTTGAAGTTTTATCAGATCAAACATTTAAAACTTTAGAAGTGGTAAATGATAAAAGATAGGATAAGATTATTTGATGTACTTTCCACCTTTACCTTTAGGCGAACACTACAGTAAGGCAATACTCTATTTCTGTTTCTGTTTTCAAGAACTATAGGAAGCTTTGGTGGTCCCTTTATTTTAAATGTTGATCATCTCAACAAGTTTGTATAAATAGCTGACAGTGGGATAATATAACACTGTGACAGTATTATTTCAGAGTGATACTCAAAATAAGACCAATACAAACTGAACAGCTGACACTTTGTGTAATTATTCCAGCGCTAAGGTTTACCACAGCATTTTAGTGCCACCTTGTGGACTATCACCTGACCTTCAAGAGAGGTATTCACAACTCTTGTTTTCTCTTTCTGTTGAATAATAAGTTTAATGTTTGAAACAGTTTGAGTATACTACATCAACTGAAACCTTACATACAATTATATATATGTAGTCCTATATATTGTAGATTATCGCAGAAAATGATTTGCTTAAAATTTTAGATTCAACGGCCTACAGTATCAGCCATCGTGGCACATTTACAGTAGCTTATTCTGTTCATTTGATTTCATTCTTTTACACAATTGATTAACATGAATTTAAGAAGCACCACATGATCAAGATGAAAGAACATTAGCGTTAAAATTAAGTTGAAGACCACTTTAGGTAAAATGTAATAATAATGATTACGTGAAAGGTCACATATTATGCAAAATACACTTTACCATGTTTTTCTAACTTTAATATGTGTCTCTAGTCTGTCTACAAACCCCCCAATGATGAGAAAAGTCCATCTTCTCAGTCTTTTGTCTGATCCACTTTTCAGAAAACGTGTGCTCAAACTGGCCGTTTGGAGATGGCCAAGCCCTTCCAGAGAGGGGGTGTGGTCAGATACAGCTTATTTACATATTTAAAGGTACAGACACAGAAACAGCCTGTTCTGAGGATCCTGATCATTTAGCCTTTAGCCTAGCCTAGCCTGTTTTCAGCAGGGCTGAAATAGAGGGGTTTATAGGCAAATACAGGATAGGAGTGAATTTTTAATAAGAAAGTTCACAAGCATGTTTTGGGGACCTCTGAGACATATTTAAACTTCTTGAAAAGGAATATATGTGACCTTTAATACTTCATCTAAATGTCTTGAACAAATGTGATTGCACAAAGAATGGTTTCATAATCCCTTTAGTAGTTTTTCCAAAATACTTTTTTTTTTCTGATCCTCAAATCTAAAAGAAGACCCAAAGTTTTGTTACCTCATTATCTTTATTGCAACATTGTTTACAGTACAATAACTGCCAGCAACATATTAAAATATATAGATAGACAAGAATAGAATGACAAAAAGGTTTAAAAGCACTTTGAAAATGATTACACTGATGTTTTTAATGGACTAAAACTTTAATTTCTATTTACATTGTACAAACTAGATATGCATATAGAATATAAAGGGTATACATTTATATACATTATTTATAAATGCTGGCCGATGTCAATATTTAATATGTTACGATTCAATCATACAAATTTCAATAAATCACACAAGAGGGAGACCAACAACAGTTAGATTTAAATAGAGGTCCTCAGAGATCATCTTCTGTCAGCCACTATCAGCGCATATCCTCACTTCATTCTTTGCATTTTTAAACTTTTGTGTTTTGTGTTTTGCACTATTAAAAACAGTTCATGACTGTGTCAATTCATTTACCAAATGGGACCATCATACATACAAGAGGAAGTCGGGGATATATGCTGCATTTAACCTTGATAAACAACTTCAAACACTGAGTGGCTGATTCAGATTATTCTGTATTCTTCTTACAGACAACGTCACACAATGTAATATCTATATGACAGAGAGGAGGCTTGTTTTTGAACAATTTGACAGGACAACACTGCAGCACACACACTGTAGTCTGGTGTTTCAGAATTTATCATTTCAAAAATAGTGAAATGTGAAGTAAACCACTTCACTTATAACTCCAACATAGTAAATTACTGAAAGTCAGCAGTGAACCACACAACTCACACCACTGACTTTAAGAGACGATTAAAACAAATTATATTTATTCTTGCCTTCCATCACTAAATGAGATTCAACTGATGCTCCACAAAAAAACAAAAACATTAAACATGAAGTTTAAAACGATTGTTAATCTATTAAAGGCTGGAGTCAAATACTCAAATCTTACTTCTGAACAGAGCTGAGGTCCATGTATAACAACACAATGTGTGTGTACACACATATATATTTATATATATACTTTACTTCAAATAGATCTGAGCCATGTTTATATTTGTTAAAACACAGCACATCCAAGTGATGAGTGGTTTTAATCTACAGAATGGACCAGAGGAGTAAATGAATCATCAGGAACGTTCACAGAAAAAGCTAACTGACATTAATTCAAGTATTATTTGAGAAGACATCCATATGTTACCATCAATACATTTCTCAACACTTTTGTTGTATAAAGGGCATTCCCCTTAAATCACATCTATAAGATACGTGGATTTTTCAATAATCATTTGCTTGCTTTTCAACTGGCGACAGGAAATTGTGCTTATCAAAGGAAAGTGCTATTGCTAACCAGAAGCTTCTCAAGGTTGTTAAAGAAGACAGTAATCCCATGTCTGCCCATTCTGTGAGGGATCAAAGTTGTGCTGGAAATATTTACAGACATGAAACTGTTCCTAACCACTTAATGAAGCGACCCTGTATGTTTTAAAAAAAAAACATGTTTTGGTTATCTCTGATTACTTACAGTTAATGTTCAGAAACAACACATTAAATCTTTCAGGCGAAAATCCTCACCAATGACCATGATGAACACCAAGCGGTATCTTTGTCATTACAATTATCACTTTGATCAGTCCAGTCTAACTAATGAGGTCTTGAGTACCATTTATCACCATCCTTTGCACAGTAATACTGAATAAAAAACACGGAATAATATAAGCTGTTATGTATTTATCTGGACATCCATCTCATATTCATCGCCTCAGAAAGACCTTTGTGAGGATTTCTTATTCAGTCCATACTGCATCTTCTGAGGTTTTCATATTGAATAATAATAAAATATACATCAAGGTCATATGTGGGAATGTTACTCTAATGTGCTCACAACACTAAACCACATACTGTCTGAGGATGTGACTCCTCCCAGCAGCAACACAATTCAGTGGAATAGCAGTTAAAGGCTGCATACCTTAAAGGAACAGTTCAACATTTCCCTGCCTTTAAGCTAAGATAAGCTCACCAGCTCCAAGCTGTAGCCTTACACTGACTGTACAGACACTGGAGTGGTATCAATCTCCTCACCTGTCCCCAAACATGTCAAACTACTCCTTTAGCTTTTCTTTCCTCCTGTGCTATAACTTGAGCCTTCACATTCCTCTGCAGATGCACAGAATGGAAACGATGTAGTTATTCAAATAACTTAGAATAATAATAATAAGAAGAAATATAACCATAAAAGTATTATCTATGATTCAATACATTTCTATCATTGAGCATTTCAAAGTGAGGAGCCTCAGATGTGCATTATAGTTTGAGAAGCAGTTTGCAGGTCTTAATAACCAGCATAGAGGCTCACAGCCACTAAGGGACAGGAGTTTAAAGGCAGCAGCTTTTGAAATTGTTGCTTTTCTGTTTTTGTTTTTTTTTTACATCCATTTCACAAGGCACAGGCTCCAAATATCAGCTCGTCTCTTAATGCGCCTGGCCTCTTTTGTAAATTAATCAGTTATGTCCACTGGCCCTGATCTGCAGTCACTGTTTGGCAGGATGCTTTTGCAGAGAAATAGAGAGCCATCCTAAATTCTACACTTCTCTGTGGCCAACACTTACCCATGGATATGGAATGGACATCTCCAACATAAAACATTATATAATAATAAAAACTGTAACATAACAACACAGATCTGAAACTACAATATAAAACCCCAGAAAGGAATGGAAGGTGGTGCCTAGTGACCACTGCTGGCTTTGCTGGAGCCCGATGTCCAGTCAATTATGATGAAGCTGAGACTCATTATCATAAACAGGAAGCCAATCGCAGCAAAACAGGCAGCCTGAAGGAGAAAAGAGAGAGTCAAGTAGAGTTACAGAAAACAGCTGAAAGAGAGAAATAGATACAAAATGAAAGCTTTATTTTCAGTGGCATGTTAACCAGTAACTTCCTGAGTAAAATGTTTACTATGTGAATGGTTTTATGAATCACTGTAAGAATCCCAACCAAATGAGAAAATCTGACGGAAAAGATTAGGAAGAATTACTGAACAGCACCTTTTTTGAAAGTCTGATTTACCTCCCACTATATGAACTAGATTTACTCCAGGGTGTGTCAGTACACTGAGGATCTCACAAAAAACATCAGTTTTGTTTTGATGCCATATTATGAGACAGGTCAAATGACCTAAAACATCGCATCCAAATTGAAATTCTTGTTTTTGTCTTGCGATGCTCACCATGATTTTGGGGAATGAGCGCAGCGGCTCCTCTTCTTCGGGTACAATACGCAGATAGAAGACTGCAGGGAAGATGAAGATGAGACAAGGGGCAGATGTGGCACCTGGAGAGTAGACAGAAAACACAACATGATTTATGAATGAATATAATATGCATGTATGTGAAGTGCCTCGGTTCTCTTTACAGTAAGTGCTGTGTTGTTATGTAGAGGTTAAAATGAATTAAGCAGAAAATGAAGAAAACACTTTTTTTTATTTCTATACCTACTCTTACAATGACATGAATTATTCTTTATCTGTATCATGACTTTCTTTCACATCTTTTGCTATATGTTATAAGTCTTTCATCATGTCTAGATCCTGTTAAGTAACCGGTGTATAAACTTGTGACTTCTTCTGCTGTGGTTACAGTGATGCCGACTTTTAGCTTAAAAACGTTACTTTTGCCCAAAATAATGAAGAGGATCATCTAGTAAGGATTGCTGTTACCCTTCAACAGATGTACAAATGAAACTTGTAAGGCCCTATTCTGACGGCGTGAAACACGCATAACAACATAACAACAGTTATTTGGTGCGTCTATCTCTACATTTAGTTATTTGCATGCCACACGATCTGGCACAGAGTTCCAAGAGGTTTGATTATGTCGCTTGATTAGGTGTATTATGGGCACAACATGAATCAAACCAGGGTTGATCTATACCAATGATCCCAAAGATGCCCAGGATGTCAGGGGCAAAGATGACCAGCAGGTTGATGAATGTGAGCAGAACGATGGCGATAGCGATGTGACGGGGCCAGTTGAAAGTCTTGTTGGGAAACACCATCTGCTGGATCGCCCTCCGTACCTAATCATAGAAGAACATTTACGATTGTGTCCTTGTGTTTTAAAACAACAAAGTGCATTAAAATCGTTCAATGTGTAAACTTTAGATGCTAACATTTTACTCACAGGGAAAAGCACAATGGGAACAGTGAGTGTGACAGCAGTGAGCACAGCCACACGCACACACAGAATCAAAGTATCATACGGGTCAATGCGGCTGTAAGTGTGAAGCAGCTCTGCTTCCACTTCACCTGAAAGAGATCAAAAGAGAGAAACATAGAGTAGGTCCAAGAATGATGAGAAAAGTACACACCTACCCCAACAAGCTGAGAAAACATGGTTAGTACCAAGTCAGTCAAGAAGCCTATATTTATAAGTTCAATATTTATATAAACTGGCAACAAAAGGCAATGAAATATATATCGAAATCATATTCTACAATTTATTTCATTTTTTTTTTTTTTTTTTAAATTTGTTAATCGGCCAAAGATACTTTGTTATCTACGGCTGTTTATTATAAAACCTCTATAACTCATATGTCGTCAATGCAATTTATTACATAAATGGTGTTTGTGAAATCTGCAATACGACCACTAGAGGGGGCCCATGTATCGTGATACTAATCAGCCTGTGGGATTGTTGTGACTTGATAAAGTGCTGACAAACAAATAAGTGACATTGCTATGATTAACCAATTATAAGCATGAAGAAGAAAGAAAGAAGCAAAACTAGGCAGTGATAGATAGATAGATAGATAGATAGATAGATAGATAGATAGATAGATAGATAGATAGATAGATAGATATTAAGCAATATGAGGAGGACCAGGCCTCACCATAGAAAGTTAGGTATCCAAAAAGGGCAGCCAAGAAGTACATGCTGTACATGACTGCAATGGAGATGTTGGCCACATGCTGCATCTTTTTCTTGGTGGGACTGAAATCAGAAGATATTGCCATGTGATGACATGACACACCAAACAAACACACATAGACACACACACACACACACACACAAATAACATCTGGGCATCCATTTTTTGAACGACTGTTTATGCCCAAATAGAAATCATGTAGCCCAGTGACTCTAGCTGTGGGGCTACATCTGGCACAGTGGTATGCCTCAAAGTGTAAACATTAAAATTAAGCACGTTAAAAGTCATCTTGGGGAAAACAAGCAATAGCAGGATGACACATTTTTAACTTACAACATGCTCCATCATTCAAGCAGTGCCAACTCATTTCAAAATAAAGTGAAAGCAGTGCATGTGACCAGGTTATGACCAGCCAAGCACAAATCAAACATAGTAGCTGTCCTAATTGTTATGTAGCTGATTTTCTTGACCAAAAGTTAGGAGCTCTGCATCATAAGAACATACTTGCGGAGCTCCGTGTAGATGGGCAGGACCTCAGGGTGGCACACAAAGGCGAACGCCAGGATGGGGATGGTGTAGGCCGTCTGAAAATGAACCCCAACAGGTCACCATAGATACAGCAGCGCCATCCCAGACGTTTACCACCAACCTCGCGCTTAACTGGCCATTACTCCCTCTGACACATCACAGAGAGCTAATTGTTTCCCTGTGATTAACTTAGCCTGGCTTTGGTCCAGCTTGTTTAAGAATGCCTTACTTATACGCTGCTAGGCAGCAGGGATCTGTCTCACTACCCGAGGAAATGGAAAAGTCTCAAACATCTTTAGGGGAAGATAATCAAAACTTTTTAGGATTTGATACAAAATGTGGAACACCTTGTAAGTATTTGTTAATGCTGTGGAGAAAACGGTATCATTACATCACTGCATCTATAGGAAGAATCAAACACATTATAGCAGCGAGCTTTGAGTGCGTTGTGACCAACAGTCTGTCTGGAGTCTTCTATTGTTGTCGAAGTATTTACTGTGTAACATTAAGGGTACTTAATGTCAGCTTTTTCCCATTTCAATAATTGTCTTCTCCTTAACCCACAAAGGGCAAACTTGAAGTTACAAGCGTACAGAATGCTTAAGCTATGTTTATTTTTTCTGCTGACTTGAGCGTACAGCTCGGAGTCTGTCTCTGAATTTTACACTAATTACAGATTTTATTATCAACTGGGTCATCGAGTGCGACTGAGTGCTTCAGACCAAGTGTCACTCCATGCTGGGATTGTGAACTGTCTCTGGCAACTACATGCTGAAGATGACAATGACAGGAGTGGCTGTGTGTCCGTGCTCGTTGCAGTGGAGGTGGATCTGCAGACTGAGTGACATGCATAAACCTACTTGTGAGTTGAGGTTGGCCATTTTGGGAATACAGGCAGGATCAATCTCCCCTCCAGGATCCGTAGCACTGATATTCAGCACACTGGCAGTGCTATTAAACGTAAAGTCCATAAATGGACAAGGGGTATTGAACTTCTTGTAGATGACCTGTACAGTGCAGAAGAGAGGCATTAAGCAGAAACAAAGGCTGTGGGAAACACTTAGCATGCAGACATGCAGAGAATATGGTACTGTGAGGGCAGAGTAAAAGAGGGGAGAGAGAGAGAGAGAGAGAGAGAGAGAGCGAGCAATGTGTGGATTAAAGCTCACACAGCCAAAACTAGGTCAGAGAAAGACAGAGAACCAGCACTGCCTGGAACCGCAGCGTGCAAACATTAGTCTATGGCATTGAGTAGGGAGAGCAGGGAATACTAAAGAGGTGGAGGGAAGGTGGAAAAAAAACTCATTCTAGACTGAGACTTTATTCTGCTTGATATTTTTACCAACAGAGAAGAACCAAAAAGCAGAAGAATGAAGTGTAGTTAACACGTGTTTCAATGTTTTTAAAAAAAAGAGAGAACATACCGAAATGAGGAAGAAAACCATGCAGCTCAGGGAGAAGCCACTGGTGTATCCCAGGTATCCTAAAAGACAAATGCTACATTAGCATTTATCTTCAATATATTACTCATATTATACATCTCATCATATTATAACATGCTCTGTATAATATCTGCCTGAACTGCTCAACTCAAATGACTAATCTCTGGTGACGGAGAGCAGCTTTTTCTTCTGCTGTACGTTCTTTGGAGGACTTGTCTTTGATGTCTCAGCAGGAGATAGGCCTCCTTTTCTCACTTTCAGCTTGGCTTTCCTGGTTTCTTTCTTCTTTCCATCTGTCAGGTTTCACTGAGTTTCTTGTCTGGAGCGCTGTGATTCAGACCGACACTCCAGCCAACTTTAAGAACACATTGGAAACGTCCTTGTGCTACAAGAGCTAAAAACACTTTGTCAGGTATCAGGGGACATCTCAGTAACATGGTTCATACATGGGAATTTATGTAATGTAATTAAATAAACACTTTAGAATCCATATGTGTATTTGAAATCTTTGCAATCCCCCCCTGAAGGTCTTAATACAGTGTAAAGAGCAGAGGGGGGAATTTCAGAGTTGGAAAGGAGGCCATCACAATTTGCAGGTTATTTAGAAATGTGTTATTCAATCATTAAGACCAAGGTTCAAGCCTCTGTTGGTACACATATTTCTCTGTTAATGTAGTGTCCTTGAGCAAGTCCAAGGGACTGCAGGAATTTTAGAAAAAGTAAGCAGCCACACAGAGAAAATCCCCACAGAGATCAGATAGATATCAAAATGTATCAACAATAATTAAAGACCAATTCCTCCAAAGTCTGAAAGTGTTACGATCTGGATTTAAGAACTTTACATTTTTGTGCTTAGTTTGACCTCATAACTCATTTAAAGCAGAATCTTGTTCCTTTCAGAAGAAGAGAAAACGCATTTTGTTGTCTTCAAATGCTAAATTTGACTGATGAGTCATTCATACAGTTTAATTCAGTACACTAAGAGGTGTATTGGGCCTTACCTGTAAGCTTATATTGGCCAATTTAAAGTAAATATAGTAATAAACTGATTCATTTGACTGACTTCATTACTCTTCTTCACTTTTGCAACTGTTTCAATATCTTAGCATTTCAGCTAAATGCAGCCAAAGCATTCATTTTAAAGCTTTAAGTGCTGAGTGAACACAGGATGTATGAAGTGAACAGATAGGTTACCTCCTGTAAGAACGTTATCACATTACTTACCTAGCTGTTTCATGAGAGCCAGTGGTAGTATAACTGCAATAGATACTATGATCACAAGGTAGTTCCCATTCAGATACCATTCACTGCAGAGAAGCAGAAAGACACAGAGAATTAACTGTATTGATTCTAAATTACTCTGCTCAAACACTCCTCTCAATCTCAATTCTGCTAAGCGTTTGCACTGTGTCAGGTATCGATTGACAAGAAACAGGAGAAAAGTGTGTGAACAGCTACAAAATGAGGAGAACATGATGGAAAAAGCAAACCTATTGACTCAGGATGATTCTATACCTCAGAGACTTCGCCAGTTACTTGTATTTACAGCAAAAAAAACAAAAACAATATCTAGAGTGGAAAAAATAAGTTTGTTTGCTCCCTCCATGTTTGTTGCATGTTGGAACAAGTTGACTGAGATGGTGTTCTGTTGGTGTAGTAACATTCCACTGCCAAACTAGAAACACTGAATGATGGGGATTATGGCAAAATGTTTGACACACACACTTCATTGAAACAACACATGTAACTGTCTATTGCACAGCTATGCATACCAAACAAACCTCATTAATCTATTTTTAGATCAACACAGTGGGGGCGATTAATTTCTTGCCCTCTGTCAGGTGGGAGACGCTGCAGAGATGCAACATCTGCTGGCTACTACACACACACAAATACACACAGAGGGAAACACACACATCTCAAAAAAGAACTCATCTATCCCGTTGTCATCCTGCCCTCCAGCCATCTGGACCAGGGACACAATATCTCTCCAACACTAATGCGCGCACACACAAACGTAGAGTGTTTTTTACAAACACAGAGATTCAAGATCAACTAAAATAACACAAATAATAGAGTGCGAATGGCCTAGCGGTTATGTCGCGCCACATGTGAAGAAGCTATAGTCCTCGTCTTCATCTGTCCTATCCAATAAGGCAAAAATGCCCAAAAAACATACTTAAAAAAAAAATCACAAATAATGAGAGTGAACTTGACATGCAAACTGCTTCTGTGTGTACAGTGAAAAAAGAAAAAAAGAAACGAGCTTCAACAACTGCAGAGTCCCTCCAGCCAGTGAGGAGTTGCATTGTTTACTCAGAAAATGGAATTTCTAAATGTTTTATTTTATAATATTGATTATTTCTTGTCTGACTTTAGATTACTTCTTACAAATGCAATAAACACAGATAATTTTTCACTTTACTTCTCTATCAATAAAATACAGAATTACTGATCCAATGATGAAGTGAAAATCTAAACTCTGTATGCAGTCATTAATTTTGACCCTCAACTATAAGCACTGTCACTGGATTATAATTGTGTTCAAATGATGAAGTAGTACTTTTCTTGTCTTTTAGATGTGATAGAAAGGTGTCTGTTATATTTTCCCTCCTCTGTGCGGTTGATCAAAATAAACACACACCCTCTGACATGATGAAATGCCACTGGGACAATCTAGTCTGTCATTTGCAATTAACAGTGACTGCTGACCATGGCCAACAGCACCGAGCACTGCTACACTGAGCAAATAGAGCTGACACCAGAAATCAATGTGGGCATGCTGTCAAAGAACATCAACTCTTTATAGACTGTAGACTACAACAAACAACTGTACAAACAAACATGCTAGAAAGCTTGAAGTGGGTTGTCTTTAATCATCTCTGTTGTAACATTTGGAAGAAGCAGCTAAATGTAACACTTGGCTGTACATTGTGGATGAATTTTCTTGAAATTCTGAGCAAATTAATACCCAATTGTGTAACCGTAACTACAATTGTGTCATGCATGCACATTGCACTTGAACTTATCTGACAACTAAAAAAGTAGGTAAAAAGACACGCTAACTGGGGTAAGGGTTAACGTGTAAAAGGGTAACTAGCGCGCTCAAAATCCCACCCAAGGAAGTGAGTGTTATTTGTCTCTGCAGCCACCTGCACCGGCCAGTGATATCCCACGGTTTACATTTTCAGCCGTGGAGTCTTGCTGTGATTGGATGTGTGCGCTTCTCTGTGGCCGTGCTGTTCTCCTCCTCCAGGGTCACTATCACAGCTGTTCTCACGCCAGCTGCTCCGTACATTCAGAGTGGCCTGCTTGATGAATTTGATAATTCATCAAGCTTCAGTGGAAGTCTATCCATCAGTTTCTGCCACATTGAATTTCTGATTCATTTGCTGGCAATGTGCTTGTTGTAGATTTCATCAACAATTACTAGTACCATCACTACCAGTGAGTGCTTTAAACAAAGGGGACTTACAAGACGTTCTTTTGATTGAAGTCATTGAAGTATTTGCATGTCTAAAGCCAATCATTTACTCATACAGACAGATGTAAAGACATCACATTCACTTGTGGATCTGTAGTCACTGTGATGTAGTATGAAAGATAACTTTTTCTCATACAGTGATCACTCACCCTGCAGGTTTGTCGACCCTCAGAAAGGCCTGGATGACCAAGGGAAACTCATACTTGACTATGTACAGGTAACTGGACATGGCTGTGGACATAGAAACATATAGAAACACTCTGATCACTGAGTGTAGCAAGAAAAAGTAAGAAATCTGAGCCCATGTCAATGTAGCATAAATCAATCTGTGATAACAATGACACAGTAGCATGTATTCTTACATGCATCAATTTTTGAAGTGGATGTAATTGTTGAAAGTAAAAGGCAGCACAGCCAAACCAGATAGAATAATAAAGAGCATTTTCCCTTCCGAGGCAAATCAACAAAAGAAAATCAATGATATTGCTGTGTTTTCAACACTGTTCATATCCAGAGCAATCAGTCATAGATATTTCAAGTCCTTTGTTTAAGTTGATTCATGTTTAAAAAGTTACGTGACATATAATTACTTCCAAAGCACAAAATAAAACTTCATATACAAACTTGTCATGCTGGATAAATAATAATCTGGCAAAAGGAAAAAGTTTCTTCATTTATTTTAAGTAGATCAAGCAGGATATTTTGATCAGTGAAACTACAAAGAGGCTTATGAGCAGTTAAACAATGAAAGCACACACATGTTTTATCCCCAGCAACAAGGAACCCAAAGACCTTTTTAAAGGTATATTTATTTGTGTGTTTGTGTGTCTAAGTGTTACCTCACCTCCAATGTTCTGCAGCGTGATGGCTATACCCGCGGCCATCTTCCCTGCAGTCCCAAAGGCCCTTTGGCCCAGCTGCTCATATGCACGAATACCTGAGACAAAGAAACATGTTCAACAAGGTGCAGGATTATACAAAACTGAAAGGCTCATTGTGTAGCAGTTCATGGACTATTGATTGATTGATTGATTGATTGAAGTCTTTATTTTGAACTTTTTTGACAAAAAACTAAACAATAAAACCCACAAAAGAATAGTGCATAATACAACAGAAATGTGTAGTTACATGTTGGAAAAGGAGTGGGAAGAAGTGTGAATGTATCTAATCCCACCCCCTCTCCATTAAACACTAAAGACACACTTTACTCCAGTAATCTTAAATGTGCCCGTTATGCAGATGACACCATCCTTCACCAACGTTCAGACCACAGACCACGAGTAGCCACTAAGCCACCGTGTTTTCAGTGACATTCTGGTGCTATTTTATACTTTCTGATACCTACTGTGGTACCTACACTGAAGCATTTATTGGCTCATGATTCTAGTGCAATTATAAACCTTTTTTAAGAGTCTACATAACAATGCTGTGAAAATAATGGAATTTGTAATTATTCTAAAAGAGAGTATGTTGGAGTTTTTCTTGTTTTCCATAACTGCATGTATCCCAAGCCAAGGAGAACCTCAGACTTTAATTGTTTTGAGTCCAGGAAGCACTACTTCCTGTGTTTTTTAATTTGTTTAATTAGGATAATTTTCTATAATATTGGTGAAAGAACAAGCTAGCTCTTACTAACATTTAACTGTTTTCTAGCATCACACTGATGTTGATTCTAGTTCTCACAAAGTAATTCACCTGAAACCAATTGATTCTTTTTTCTTCAGCTCACTGCATTGACTGGCTGAGTGGTACAGGTATTTATTTCCCATTCTATTTACCCAGGTCTACGTATTTCTTAATTGTTTGTTCTGTTCATATTCTGTGTGTACTCCTATTCTGTAAAACCACCATTTTTACTTTTTTGGAATAAAGATAGGAGGTGAAATTAACTTTTGAATAGAAAGGGCAAATGACATGACAATGTTAAGGAGGTTTTAAAACCAATTAAAGAGAACTTGTTTTTTGCTTTAAATCCAATCAACAATATATTTTCATGCACATTGACAGTCACATACATACCTACAATGCCAGATAACTTAAGCAGTAAATGGATGGAATATGAGGAGAGGACCGCCACCACTGTTAGAAGTACCCTGAAACACACGTAAAAACATGATTACTGACACTTCTTTTACCAGGAAAAAACACCAATGAAATATTGATTTTACCAAATGCTTACATTTTTACAAAGTACATGACCCTGTACATTACTGACACAGCTGCAGCACAGCCATACATTGTCTGCATACCAGTGCACAGATTGTGTTGGAAAGAACAGAGTCCCTGTGGCTCTTCTTTACCCGTTTAATTGTTACTCATGCTGAGCTAAGGATGCTGCCCTGTCAGCGCCTCTGCCCTCTGCCACACTAAGTAATCACACGCACACCAGATGGACACGTCCAAGAGAAACAGTTCCATTGCACTGCTGAGATTGACAGAATGAGGAAAATCCTTTATACACATTAATCTTCTCGTCTTTGTTCCTCCAGGCTGGAATAACCCACTTCAGTCAGCACAACAGTTTATGTAAAAGTGTTGTCTCCTCAAAGAGGACTGCAATCATTCTCTCTCTGTTGACTCATGTTCTCTTTCTGAAACAACTTACTATCTTTTCTCTCTCATCTTTGGCTTTCTCCATTTTGGGCTCCTTGAACAATTGTTATCCACTCAGAAAATTGATTCTACTACAGTATGTCTGTCTCAGTAAAAACGACTTGAGATCAGAACGGCAAAGCCTCATACCTACCCATCTTAATATTCCTGAGATGATCAGCGTTGGATCATATTGACAATCATCCTGAAAATGACCTAAATCAGTTTAACATAATGTGCACATTAATATGATTTACTGACTGTGAAATATATATTGTTTACAGGGACTTCATGGCAAACAAAATGTTTGCAATCATAGGCGTAATGAGGAGCTATGTGGAACATCACAGGCTCATGTTTTTAGTGAGAATGGAGAATTTTTCTAATTAACATATAGAGTTCAAAGTCTGCTTAAGAAAGGGGCTGGGTAGATCCTGATTTAAATCCAACAATTTCTGCTATTTTAGAATATGTCCCTCTGTCTACGTTAGGTAGATGGTAAGACACAACTTATACTGTGTTTTTCCTCTCTGGGGTGTGATTCTGCAGTGAAGAAAAATCTGCTTTCTTGCAGCACCAGCACCGTCACTAACGGAATTGGTGAGATGGAAGAACTACAAGCTTTTCAGCATGGGTTTCTAGACTAAACTAAACTGAACTATGAGAGCAAGGGATGTTACATTGGAGTCTACATTTCTTTGGTTCACTCAGATGTTCAGCCGTATAAATGCAGGTGAGATCAGCTGTGATTGAGGCTGTGGCCTCACACACAAAACAAATCCTGGTACATTAAGATGCTGCTGATATAGCATACTGAGGAATTCATGATTGAAAACTGTAAGCATTTTAAAGAGTTCTGAAGAACCATTATTTTTCCTTTTGCCAAAGTGAGAAATGAAAAAAGTATGGTTTAGGTATTTCATGGACCGTTTTTGCACTTTTTAGATTTTCCCCCTCACTCTGACCATAGGGTCAGTGCCGTTATATGGCACTTTCTTCTCAGCTTTGTAATGGTTTGGGGGGATCATATGGTCGACCTTTTAAAAGGGGACACAGTTATGGCTCATTGTATTTGGGCCTGTTTGAGCCTGAAATGCTATAGCGCCATAGTGCTGTCCACTAACAGTGTTTTATTGTCTTTAAAGATGCACATGTTACATTTCCTACTTGTATTTAATAGATGTTTTTAAAGGTATGTCAAATGAAAAATGTCAGTGATGTTCGTTAGTACCCCAAGCATGAGGAAGATTTGTGAATGAGTAGCTGGTCTGCTAACTCACCCTGACCCCGTCCAACCGTTTCCTATTTTCTTCCTGGTCGCTGTTACTGCTGGCGACACTAACGTTCTCTCTCTCACACACTCTCTCCATTCCTTCTGCTTTTAGGAAAAGCCAGACAGCACGTCTTTCATCCTGACATCAACTGTTGGCCAGTGAGGTTGTTTTTTTTTCTCTTTGGCATTTTTCAGACCTTGTGGAAGAATGCTGGTTTGACTTGCAGTGGAGGATTTAGTCAGTCAAGTGGCAGTGGGTGAACAGATCTCCTGACAGACAGACAGTCAGACTGACACACTTGGGTCACCGTAGCTTTGCTAACAGCTTTCCACCCCACTGCATTCCTACCGACCCGCTGGAGCCTCTACAGCCGCCAACACAATCTGTGTGATATGACACACGGGGCTGTAAGCCAAACGGAAACATGATACATTTCTACCAAAAATATGAAATTCAAAACCTGAACTAGCAGTGTGAGACTCACCATAGGTCAGATGATATTAAGTTATTGTTATGTTTAAGGCGTGAACTGATATCTAATTTGGTAAATATTGAGATAAGCAGGTTATTCATCCATTTCTTTTTTTAAAACAAAAAAAAATCATGTTACCAAACATCTGTTTTATGAAACAAGATAAACTACACCTAATCTTTACCTGACTTACTAAAACTGCAATTCAGTATACAATATAATACTCAATAATAACCAAAGCCAACATGTGTACACACACCTGGAACTTAACAAACAAAAAGAGGTAAGGCCCCTTTGTCAACATTTAAAAAGTCTGGTGTGTTTTAAAAAATGACCATACATATGCATATAATAAATACGATGAATACGCTTGTGTAGAGCCATAATATTGCCAGACAAAAATATTGCCGGACAAAATATTGTAATATTATGCTTTACATTCAACTAGTACTCTCTTTCAGGTCAAAAGTATGAGTTGCATTTATTTCAACAGTTGATCAAATATCTTCAAAAACATAACACGTGCTATTTGAATTTGATTTAAAAAGTGACTTTAAAAGAAAACAGTGTGTTAGTTTCACTGATCTCCTCCAGCAGGTCATTCCTATTGCAGTAACAGCCATTATTACATTCTCTTTGTGTACTTCTCGGTGTTTGCGAAAACATGGCCCCTGCATTATCAGCTCTTCTGTCCCCTTTAGGAGCAGGACCTTAGGTTCATAATGACACCATGCTTTGCCAAAAAAAAAGGATGATATTTTGTTCAAGGCCATCACCAGCCTGGGAGTGCAATGTGGAACACAGAAACAATGCCTGTTTTACTTTGCCAAATATGCCACACTGACCCTGCCTGTAGTAACACTATTGTTTGAAACAATTTCCAGCAGATATTCTCACAGTGACAGCCTATACACTCTTTGTTGTGGTCAGTCACGTAATATTAATTTGCACGCGATAGCGTGTGTTCATCAGAGTAAAACATAATCAGCTCCACTTCATTTGGGCTCCTGTCTAGCCAAGTGTCAAAGACCCTGGTGTTGGGTGACACTGGGTTCAACCAGTCCAGACAGCTTGAAAACCAACAGTCACACAACTCAGCTCCCACTAAGGAGCTTTAGAAAGGAAAAACCCTGCAGACCAGACAGCATCTGAAAACAACTTCCTCTAATTATATATCATGTCAGCTGTTTAAAATTCAAACACATATTTCTCCTACACTGATTTGAATCTTGAGTGCTAATGGTAATATGATTTTACATCTCTGTTGTAGAGCTTGTTTGCTTGAAGCATACAAAGGGGAGAAGTCATGACATTTTTCCACCAAAGCAACAAATCAACTTAAAACAAGCCAAGAGATACAAACAAGAGATACAAAGATCTTTTGATGAATAAATTATGCTTCCTTCATTTTCAAAGAAAGGTTATACTGAGAGGGTTATGGTTGAGCTGAAAATCCTTAGCACAGCCACCTTCAGCACCAGACACCTTACAATCTAGCACCATCAGGAGGATGTGTCAAAACAGCTTGAGAAAAAGACGAGGAGGGGAAAGCGTTGATGTTGCTAGCACCCTACAAACACCCTGATTATTTTTGAGAAGCATAACAGAGCAGGCTCAACTGAAAAGCTTGTGGAAAACAGGGAAATAAACATGCATGTAGGACTTTAATGGGCATGTAAAGCTTTGAAAGCCCATCAATTAAATCTTATACTAGCATCAACTCTGAGGAGTTTTTCACCCCATAGCTTCATCATATGCAAAATCCAGCCAACAAAAATTTAAACTATGCCCACTAGCTGATATGATGAGAGGACACACGAGTAATATTTAGCACACTAGGCTATCTGTTCCCTCTGATGGCAGCAGACTCAGGCACACTAAGTCTTAGAATGATGATTTTTTTCAGTTATAGGATAGTAACTGTGAAATATTGAGAATTTCCTTAAACAAGCTCTTCGATTGTCTACAAGCTTTAAAGGATATGGCCTGGTATATTCAGCATTTTGTTGAACAAACATGTTGAAAGATCATAAATCTACCACCAATGATAGCTCCTAGCATTGTCTATGTAGCTTAAGTCTGGTAGCTTGTTTCTCTTTTCAATAGAGCTCAAAGTCAGTTCTGGATACAGCCTCATGATACCATACTCACTAGAGACACAAATGTCTGTTAATCCATCACAGAAAACAGGCCCAAATAAGTGCAGTATATAGGTCAGTTTATATAACATATAAATTATTTAAAAAAATACAATAAATGGTCTCTATAATGTTGGAAATGGTCATAGCTTTAAGACCTACAGCAGACTTTAAAGATAAGAAAACACTTGTCTTCCTGCTTTTAAACAGGGGTTGACAAATAGCTTCTCTACCTCAGGAGAATACTTGCTGTGAAAAGGCTTTATAGAAAAGTTCAGCAAGATTTTGAGACCATATGAAGACATTTTTTGACACACCATGTCATTTTCAAAAACAAGGCTACACTATCTTTTTCCGCCTCCACATGGGGAAATACAACGCAGTGGATTCACTAGTCTGCTCCTCACTGTGATCATTTGAAGTGGCATTGAGATAACTTGCTGCAGATAGCTAAAAAAAAACTGCATTGCAACAAAATCTTAAAAAACTGTGAAAAATGTCTATATCAAAAGATAAATGATCAGATTGGAAGCTGCAGTCAACTGTTGGCTGTAACAGATTAGCATTTGAAGGGGGAATACTAATGCCTCTGTGACGCCTTGTGTGCAATGTGTTAAAAACAGAGGCAGAATGGTGGGGCGGAGTCACTCCACCCCTGATCCGCCATCAGAGGTAGTGATAGAGGCGTAATGGAGGGAAAGTGCTGAGCTGTCTGTCTGTGTGTGTGTGTGTGTGTGTGTGTGTGTGTGTGTGTGTGTGTGTGTGTGTGTGTGTGTGTGTGTGTGTGTGTGTGTGTGTGTGTGTGTGTACATGCCTGAGCATATGTGTATGTGGGGCTCCTGCTGTGTGCTCTCTCAAGCTCCCTCTGTATTATGCAACACCGTAATGCAACGTGAACTCACACACTGGGATACTTAATAACAATACGTGTTTACAGATGCAATGTGTTGGTTCAAAGGAGTAATGACGGCAGAGCTTCGTTATGACACCATTTTCCTGACAGACATCCCTGTAGCTGGTTCACATCAGTGAGTCGTGATATATCAAAAATAATGCTACTCCAGTGTTGTTGTATCAGATGTATCATATGAATTACTTACAGAAACAGGACGACCCCCGTGTTGGCCATGGCGTAGGCCAGTCCTAGGATTCCACTTCCCATGATTGCATTGCCCAGGTTGAAGACGGACATCCCAAACGAGGTTTTCCCTTCAAACTAAGGCCGATGCAAGACAGAGGAGAAAAAATAAACTTTTTTTGTTCATCTAACAGTACCTGAAAGTATAGGCACGTAATTTCCGATACCATTCAGAATATGCTGTGTTTGAGCTTACATCTGTAAATTGTGGGGTCTTCTTGTTGTCAACACCTGAGAGGAACTCCTGGCTCTCTGGGAGGTTGGCTTCTGTGTTGTCAGTTCTGTGTGGACTAATGCAAAGAAATATTGTTAAAGAGCTAGAATTAAAAGTACCATGGAAACAAAAAGGACAAGACAGACTCTAAAACAGGCTTCTGAACATTTTGGCTTCTGATTTCTACCAAGGTCACAACTCTGAAACTGTTGATTATTACACATATTACACACATTCCTACGTAGCTGGTCGGAGAGGACGCTGGCGTGTTTGTTCACCGCTTCTCCAGCTAAGCCTAAGTGTCCACTACTGTTGATTATTGCTGTATTACTTTGACCTATCCCTCTGTCTCTTGTGTCTTATGATTTAACCTCAGTTTAATCCTAAAGGTTAAATCTCACTTTATAGATTCTTTTGGGCGTTCACATAGCCTACCTGTTGTCGGCACCTGTCAACGCCGGCTTCAGACCTTCGGCCCCTGACTACCGACTACCGGATCCTCTGGTTGTCGACAAAACCGGCTGATCCACCACTACTGGTAGCCCCTTCCTGGACACCCGCTGTTCTCAGTCTTTGCTGGAAAAACTGCCGTTCTCCACAAGCTAGCTCCCACGGCTAGCCTAGCTAGCCTTCGCTCCGGTCACTGAGGCTAATGCAGCTATCGTTAGCAACCGACTCGGCAGCCTCCCGTCTTCTACTTTCCGCCTCCACACAGTCATCCTCTACAGTTCGTCTGGACATCCTTCATTCGGCACCACTTCAGCCCCACTGACTGCTATGCTGTGGACCACCCTGACTTGCCTGTTACTCTGGTTGACAAGTCTGCGGCTACCGGCTAACAACTCCAGGATTAGCGAACCAACATCCCCGGCTGGCATGGCAGTGAAGTACTCTGTCTCACAGCTGCTCAAACTCAACAATAACGCCACTCCTGCATGCATCTCCGCCATTAAAACCTTTGGACTACTACGACGACCCAGATATATCCACAGAAGCTCCCGGCGCAAGTTTGTTTACTCCCGGTCTAGCCAGCATGGCCACTCCATCCCATCACTCTGGTCAACTGAGCAGACTGACACACCCCCACTACGTCATCATCACAACAACGAGCAGACGCGCTCTCCCTGTCTATGAGCCCTGCCTCGAGCTCCCCTGGACACAAACACCAAGCAAACCCAGATGAAATTCACTCTGTTTAACACCCGGTCTCTTAACAACAAAAGTGACATTCTCAATGAATTCATACTGGACAATAAAATGGACTTCCTCTGTCTCACTGAAACTTGGCAACAGCCCCTGGATTATCTCTCACTCAACCTGACCACACCAAATGGATACACATACATAGACAGACCACGCACTGAGGGCCGAGGTGGCGGCATTGCAGTCATACACAGACAGGACATAAAAACTAGCCTCATCTCCCTTCTTCCTGCTCCCTCATTTGAATCACTGGCTTTTAAACACTCTGGCACCACACAGCTGGTCATGGCTGTTGTCTACCGCCCTCCCAAGCCTAACCCATCATTCCTCTCCGACTTCTCTCATTTCCTGACCCAGCTTTGTGCTCTCTCTCCCTCCATCCTTCTCCTTGTTGATTTTAAAATACACTTGGACTCCACAAACTCAACAATAACCACTGAATCCATCGAAATACTGAACTGCTTCAACTTAACTCAACATGTCAACTTCCCCACCCACAACCGCGGTCACATCCTGGATCTAGTCTGTTCCACTGGTCTCTCCATAAATCACCTCTCAGGCATGGATCTTACCATCTCCGACCACCTAGCTATTAACATAAACATTGACATTCCCACCACCCTGCAAAACAAAAATGCTCAATCCACTTCCGCAAACTCAACACTGTCTCTCCTTCCGCTCTATCATCTGCCCTCATGGACAAAATGTCTGCCTTCCCTCCCTGTGACCTCACCGCTCCCTCTGACCTCACCGACTACTACAACCACACTCTCTCCTCCTGCCTCAACCAGCCAACCACCAATTAAAACCAAAACAATCTCCTTCACCCACTCTGCTCCCTGGTTCACTCCTGACCTCCGTCACATGAAAACCCATGCCCGTCAACTGGAAGGACTACACAACAAAACCGGACTCACTGTACACGCTCAAGCCTACAAAGATCACCTCCAACAATACAAAGATGCCCTCTCCCACGCCTGATCCACCTACTATTCCCATCTCATACAGTCTGGCTCCAGGAGCCCCAAATCACTATTCTCCACCATCAACAAACTCCTCAACGGTTCCCAATCCTTCACAGCAGACAAATGCACCTCCTTCCTGTCATTCTTCCAAACAAAAATAGACACCATCTACAACAACCTAGCCCCTTCTGTATCTGTCCCCCCTTCTTCCATCTGCCCCCCCTTAACCTGTCAGCCCCTGTCTCAGTTCTCCCCCATCTCCTCTGCAGAGCTTTCTGACCTCACAACAGGAATGAAAACCTCCACCTGCCTTCTGGACCCCATCCCCACCAGTCTTGTCAAGGCCTGCCTTCCTACCCTATCCCCACTCATTATCTCAACAATTAACTCCTCCTTCTCCACAGGTACCATTCCACCATCTCTCAAACTTGCTGCTGTCACCCCCATTTTGAAAAAACCTGGACTCAATCCTGACATCCCAAACAACTTCAGACCCATCTCCAACCTCCCCTTTCTCTCAAAACATCTGGAACGTGCTGTTGCTTCACAACTCAAAATCCACCTCTCTGCCAATGACCTCTATGAATCATTCCAATCTGGTTTCCGTTCCCACCACAGCACCGAAACAGCTCTCCTCAAGATCACCAACGACCTTCTCCTCTCCTCTGATGCCGGAAACCTCAACATCCTCATCCTACTGGACCTAAGCGCAGCTTTTGACACCATCAACCATTCCATCCTTCTCTCCCGCCTTGAAACCACATTCAACATCACCGGCACTGCACTCCCCTGGCTCAAATCATACCTCTCTGACAGATACCAGTTCATCAGCATCAACCACTGCAAATCCCCCACTGCTCCTCTCTCCCAAGGTGTTCCCCAAGGTTCAGTACTAGGTCCCCTCCTCTTCATCATGTACATGCTCCCCCTTGGTCACATCATCTGCCGCCATGGACTCCAGTTCCACTGCTTTGCCGACGACATCCAGCTCTACATCGCCACCAAAGTCATCACTCCTGCCACTCACTCAATCCTCACTGACTGCATCACAGAAATAAAATCCTGGCTTCAAACCAACTTTCTCAAACTCAACTGCGACAAATCAGAAGTCATTATCATCGGCCCCAAATCCCTCATCAAATCCACCAACAACTTCTCCCTAACCATCGATGGCTCCCCAGTGCTCCCTTCCCCCCACATCCGTAACCTTGGTGTCATCTTCGACCAAACCCTCTCCTACAACAAACACATTAAACAAATCACCAAAACAGCCTTTTTCCACCTCAGAAACATCGCCCGCCTCCGCCCATCACTCTCATTCTCAGCTGCCGAGACCCTCACCCACACATTCATCACCTCCAGATTAGACTATTGCTACAGTCTCCTCTGTGGTTCACCATCCAACTCACTCAGGAAACTTCAATACATTCAAAACTCCGCTGTGCGTCTCCTCACACGAGATCACATCACCCCTGTCCTTCATGACCTCCACTGGCTCCCCATCCCCCAGCGTATCCACTTCAGACTCCTCATCATCACCTACAAAGCCCTTCACAACCTGGCTCCCCCCTACCTGTCTGAGCTCCTCCACCGACACACTCCCACCCACACTCTCAGGTCTGCGGATGCAAACCTCCAGTCCCCCCTCTGCAGGACCAACCTTCGGTCCTGGGGGGACAGGGCCTTCTCCATTGCAGCTCCCACCCTCTGGAACTCTCTCCCTAAAAACATCAGAGACTCCCCCACACTCACTTCCTTCAAGAAATCCCTAAAAACTCATCTTTTCATGACTGCCTACAACCACTGACTCTCATCCTCTTCCCTTGACACTATTTCTATTTTGTATTGTTCTCTTAGTTTTTGCTTAGTTTTTTTTTTGTTGTTTCCTGTCAAAGCGTCTTTGAGTATTTAGAAAAGCGCTATATAAATCTAATTTATTATTAATAATATTATTATCATTATTATTATTACAGCATACATACCTAGCATTTTGGGCACTATTTGGTACAGTTTCCCTACAAGCAGTGTAGAGAGATGCCATCCATCACCCAACGAGAGCACAAAGTGGAAAAACAACACACTCAGTCATAATATAATACAGCGAGGTGACCATCTATAAATGATTGCCTAAACCCTGGAGAGATATTTTAATTAAACCATCCATTACATAGAAAAGAAGACACAGATATATCGATAGAAAACCAGTGACATGATAATGAGGCATTTAAGCCCACTCCATTATGAAGCACACATAATAGCACAATCAGAGTGCATGTAGGAGGTACATTACACAGAGAGATGAATGGACACACAGTCTTTGCAGTTAAAGCAATGCTGCCTACCAGCATGGACTTCCAGCTCAGGCAGAAGAGTGACACAATCAACATCATGACGCACGTATAATTACCTGCTTTTTTTATGAGCATAAGCAGTCATCTCTCTCTGATGTCATGGTCAGGATTGGAAGGTCAAATGCTGTTATAATGACATACTTCTGTTCCATGTTATATGTTGTAAAAATGTAGGGTATCTGACAAATAATTATCATTTCCCCATTGCTTAAAAAGATAATTTTAGTGTTAATGATTTATTAATAGCCCTTGGTAGTGTTTCATAATACAACAGACAAGGCACACATACCTAGCTAGCCTTTCATAAGCTAGTTAATATCTTGCTAATATTGTGAGCTGAAGTGGTTGAATGCTGGTATTAGCTTTGTTTTATTGTAGCTAATGGATTATCAAAGATGTTGAGAAGAGAGATGATTTACATATATTTATCCAGTCAACAACCATGAGCACAGCAGTAAAACATTATATCAGAATGTGAGCTTTTGAACCTGAATGTGACAGCAAAAGGAAAACGGATTGCTGAGTAAATATGTTGAATGGATACCTCCACAGAGGTAATGTCTTAATAATCAGCCAGGCACATGCAATGACATTCATTTCCCTTGAAGTTGTGTTACCACACAGTCTGTAATGTGTTTTGATGCCTGTGGGAGAACAAGCGAGGGCTGAAAGTGACACATTAAGACGACAACTTAAAGTATACAGTATCCCTCGCTTGAATAGTTTCAGTATGTGTACAGAGGACGTTAAAACGAAAGAGATCCCTGGTTTGATTTTCTCTTGGTGCACAAAATGGAAAATATTAAAATGGCATAAACAAAAATCCTATGCACTATGTCTTTCCCTGGTGGCTTTTTGCATATCTAGTATTCTATATTTGGAGAGGTTTTGAGACCTGACACTCACTGAGATTACAAAACTGTCAAGATGCTTCACATAAAACGATAAAACGAGACGCTGATCTTAATTGATCTCATTATAAGGATAACAAAGCAATAGAAGTCAAAGGTGATTCTTAATTTCCTGCCACAATAAGAACCTAAAGTGAGAAGAATTAAGAATATGTTCCTTAGAGATCAACATGTAAAGTATTAAGAAGTAAACTTACTTTTCAGCATCTGCTGCAGGGGGTGTCTTTGCGGATGCTGTGATCTCCTCCCCAGGTTCGTGGCCTTTTCCATTGGGAATAGCGTTTGACTCTGCAGGAGCAGTTTCCACAGTCTCAGCTGGGTTATCTTCACTCATATCTGCTCCAGTGATAATCAGCCTTTTGAAATGTGTAGACGTCTGATGTCAATGTTTGAAGTTCTGGGAGAGATAAGTTCTTATTTTTAAGGCAGGGACCTGTGAAAGAAAAGAAAGGCTCAATTAGAATTAAAACCGCAAGCGGTGATGAAGGGCCCTCGCACCCCTGTGCATGTCGGGGTGTGTCGCGACCGTGGGAGTGCAGCAGCAGTGGAACGTGGCTAAGCAGCAGACCGTGCAGTCCGATTTGTGTAAAAGTCGTACTATGGTATGCTGAACTAGGCAGCGTAATGAAGATCACAGAAACTTTTGACGTAGAGCAGTTCAGGCTGGCACTGTCATGATAGCTATGAAATATGGAGCAAATTGAGCATTGTGTTATACTTATTCCTTGCAGTAGGGGGCGATGGTTAATGTTGACTATTGTTATGTCTATGTGTTCAGAGGCCAACTCTGATCATACTTATGTAATTTGAAGTAGATCAGACAAAGTATATAGGATGTAGTACTTACTCCTTACAGGAGGATGCGCTATGGTTCAAGTTGACCATTGTTATGTCATTGTGTTCAGAGGCCAACCCTGATCATATCTGTGTAATTTGAGGCAGATCAGACAAAGTATATGAGAGTTACAACCACTTCCTGTTTGACGGCGAATGATGCATCCGTATGCGAGAGCGTTGGACGTAGGTGTTTGAGCTTGAAAGTGTTGTATGGCCAAGGTGTTTGAATGGTCCCCACCAATTCTGAGCGGGAAATTAGCTACCTTGTAGCAATGGCTAATGCTAACTGAGAAGCAGTAACTTCCTGTTATCTACAGGTGGCACTGTGACTAAGCAAAAAATTTAAATCATGGAAGTGTTCAGAGCAGGCCCCGTATCATGTATGAGAAACTTTAATATGATTGAACACTGCATGGCAGAGATATAACCATTTACTTTTTAGGCAAGTTGCCAAAATGCACATCAAACTTTGAACGCACGCCATAGCCACGCCCTTTGACGAAATAACATGCAGAGCACAACGGGATATGTTGATCACTAGAACACACTGACACTAAGTTTGCATCCAACGGCTGAACACTTTCGGACTAGCTTTATTTTTCCCTTCTGCCAGTCTTTATTTTTATACATCTGTTTATGTATTTCAGTTTTACTTAAACTGTATTTCCATTTTCTTTTCTTTCTTCAAAAACAACATTTTATCCATATTTCAACACAATATGCACAGATATATACATAAACTTATACTTGTCATTAATTACATGCAAAAATTGTCAAAACTGCAAAATAAACATTTCTGTGTGTTATTATTCTTTTCACAAATATAAAATAATTTGGTTCTGCTACTTCTCGTATTAAGAGCTTCTTATCAATGCAATACAGTTGCAAACAGGTTTCCAGTGTAATTCTCGCTTAGCATTATGCTAACAAATAACATGGGAAATCCCATAGAGAAACGCTGACTTTTTACATGAATATAAGTACAAAATATGAAAACGAACAGTCTTCATGAACCCACGGTTACTTTAAGAGATATGCAGGAGCTTTACAAAACTAGCAAAAGAGCATGGGAGCTAGCTAAAATATTTAAATCATGGATAGTCACCAAAAGATAATTTAATTTTACAGCTCTTATTTAAATCATGGATGTGTTGAGCTAAATCAGCCTCTCTAGTCACCACAAGATGGCAGCATTGCCTTAATTTTAGAGTGGGCCCTGTAGCCTATCGTGCATGAGACATTCGAAACTAACTTGACGTTATTAACCCCTCTTCCCAACATGATAGCATGTCATGTTTGGTACCAATGGATGCAATGGATGGATCGTGGACTTTCATTATTACCTGTGTATCCCCTCTAGCTTTAGAATTGATCCCACAACGCCGTCTGAAAAATAGTAACATTTGTGTCAGCTGAGGAGCTTATGTCAAACCTCGTGATTTGAGCACAACTTTTATTCTTCAACTTATCTACTTTCATTTGACACCAAACTTGAATTGGTCAGATAAACGCTATCGGGCGGACGCTTTCAAACAGGTACCCTGTAAATGGTGAAAATACAGACTTTTTAGACATTCAAAAAATCATAGCGGACTTCCTGTTGAAATTAGACAATGACTTCCACTGACTTTTTTGTAGGTCTCGGCCTGCTCTAACATGTAAAAAAGATTAATGTATGTAGGCAAAAAAATCTATTCGTAAAAATCAAAAGGGGGCGCTGTCGAGCTAATTTGCAAACTTCGTTCATAAAAACGCCAAAATATCAAATTTTTCGCCGGACCCAATGACCATGCAAATTTTGCTGAGTTTTCGCGCACGTTCAGGCCCTCAAAAGTGGCCGCAAAGTGGCGGAATAAAAATAAAAATAATAATCTTTTGCATTCCAAGAGGGTCCTACGCACTTGTCAGTGCTTCGGGCCCTAATAATATTCAGTCATGAAACATGTATTCTTTCCTTTTGAAGAGACAGAGAAGTTCATGTTTATTTGAATATAATTCCCTCACAACACAGTGAAGGTAAAAGGCAGGAATTTAAAATAACTTTAACATTTGACATCTGACTCTTAAGTCATTAGTTAGGATCAGCTGCAGAACTCTAAAGTCATTGGTAGATGCAACTTGGAGGTGATTCAGAACGTCATTAACATTTTGAAAACACATGGTTATGAAGAAGCCTTATTGAATAATTGTAGAGAGTCAAACTGAATCAGATATCGACAGACACGTGCAATGGTTAGAGCAATGTGTTTTCAACAGTAGGAGACATGTGGTGAGATAAAAAAGGGGGCCACCCTGAGGGCACTCAAGTGAGTCTGTGTCTTCCTTTAGGTCCAATCGGACGCGACTGAACACGTAAACACTTTATGAATGCTGACAGAGGAAGGTGACAACAGAGATGTCAAGATGAAGCACCAACACAAAATTCTCTTCACAGCTATTGAATAAAGAAAGAGATTAAATCGTTTTTTTGCATTTAAACACTTAAATTGAAAAGCTCTGAGTGACTTTAAGACTAACAAATTATTTCAGTTGTAACCTAAAGCAAAAAAAACACCAAACCCTACAATGTAAAATTATAGAGTTGACATTGAATTGATGTCTTGGCAAACCCCATCAATAATTGACTCATCAGCTGACAGCTCCTGCTCACAGGACACAAGGCGTTGTGCTAACTGTGACACACTGGGCTGTGCATCAGGCCTCCTGGGTATCTTGTTGTGGTGCCTTAGCTGCCATGCTGGCTTGTGGGGCCCAGTGAGGCCCCCCCGTGACATGTATCTCCTGGATGCCGTCGACCAAAGCCTCCTATCTGGCTGTCGCTAAATGACCTCCTTTGCTCCTCAGCATAAACAGCACTGGAGGCTATAATGGAGAGCACGTTGGGGGCCACAGAGGAGGAACACATTCAAATGGTTGAGCATTGAGATAAATGGAGAAGAACCAGCTAGGACCAGCTACAAACCAGTTCTACTCATCATTGTGCCACCATTTTTCTGCTTGTCACTTTGCTCTTGGTTTCCTCTTTCATTGTGGAGGGTTCAACAGAGCAACAATGCTCAGGGTTTTCTGTACCACCATTTTTGGCAACCACTCAACTGACCCTATTCCCTCAGGCTGCTTCCGCTTCACAGCCTGCCCTTTTAAAAGTAGCTTTGTGTGATATAATTTTAAACACACCAAACTAGTGTGAGCTGAATAAACCCTGGTCTTCATCGAGCAGCCCTATGAACCTACCAACCACACTGCTGCGAGCTTCACTGCACAGCCAGGCCTCTCGGTGTCTCTGGCTAAAGCCAGGCAACGTGGTTGGCCAGCAAAGCACAGTGCACAATAGCGCATGTTGTGCCGTTTCCTGGGAACGGGTTGGAGAACAGTAGAACTATTGTGCCAGGCATCATTATACGGCCGGGGCCCTCTTTGGCTGCAGTTCGCCGGGCCACTCGAAGGGCTGAAAAGGTATTTCACTGGGCTCTAATTGAAAAGACGCCACCTTGAATTCAGCAAATGCCAGTATCCTGTATGCATGCACAGTTGTAGCAGAGATGCTGACGGCCGCAATGGTAGAGGCAGGGCCCCATCTCATGGGACAAATCACCGCACAGAACCACACTGCCACTCCGATAGTCTACAAATCACAAGGAGGCTGGAGGAATCCATTCAAGGACAATACACCATGGGCTATACAGCTACAAGGGTGCCTCTTCAATGGCCTCGAGCAGTGGAGCTTGAAACAGCAGACCTGATTGGACAGAGTTGTACGATCATTATGTTCAATAACAAAGGAAATGCATGACATCCATGGACATAGTTCAGTGAAAACAGAATATTCAGTGAGAAGCTTTTATTTTTAGAAAGCTTCTTCGCCAGATTGGAGCAAACTGAGGTGAAATGGAGGTAGCTGAAACGCTTTGGGGAACATGCTCTTTTGAAAGTAGGACAGGATTTTGGCAATCATATACCAATACTGATATGAATTATTTATACTAAATTAAAGAAAACTTCACTGAAACGACAGCTAGTGTATTAGGATCTTAACTATAATAAATATTTAGTGCAAATAACCAAGAACCAGTGGTCTTTTGCTGACATGCAGAGCTTATTACATAATAACAATAATAATACAAAAATAATTGCATACACATAAATTGTTAGAAAGAATCAGTATGTGGTGTATGGAGAAGAAAATAAAAAAATAGAAGAAACACAAAAACAATTGAATACCAGTTAGCAGAGCACCATTGTGGCATAAAACAGAAGAATAGTTATCTGCTCACCCAAACTGACATCTCTGTAGTCTGTAGACATTATGTCATCCCAATACATGTGCCACTATCTGTATAAGCAATTCAGTTGACTTCAATACATCTTGAATCTTGAGCAGAAACACAGTTAAAAGGCTGACTTTCTTGTTTCAGATGCCTCAGTGTGACTGAAAGTTCACTGTTAGCTATTTCCATATAGATCATATGATTATTTAATATGTCTATTGTCCCAACATGAAACATAACAGAACATGCACAAGCTGACAGGATGATAGACAATCTTTCTCTACAGTTAAATTGACTCAGTAGTGCCATCTGGAACTGCAAAATATTT